ACAGCACAGAACTCAATGGAGGACTCGGCTAAGAATTTAGAATACCACATCAACTGGGGACAGTGCCTCCTACTGTTGGGAGATTAAACTTCTTCCCCATTATTTTGTTACCCTTCTGATAGCTGGAACTTGGACATTCTAGACTTCGAGGAAGGAGAGGCAGAGAAGATAGCACCTGCTTCTGTTGTGCTCAGACTCAAAGGCCTCAGCTGAGGGCCTCCCCATCAGGTCCCTGCCAAGGCCTTTTGCTTTCTTGAATGACTTGATAGCACACTGATGTTTCAAGGCTGGGTGCTCCCCAGCTGGAGCCCTGGAAATGCTTGCGTGGCATGCTAGAGAAAGGAACTAACTTGAAAGAAACTCCCATGAAGTAAATCACCAGGACCGGATGGTTTTCATCCAAGAGTGGAGGAAGGAAATGAAGTGTGAAATAGCACAGATACTGATGAAGACATTAGTTCTCCATTAGATCCACAGACGTGTCAGAGCAGAGGAAGTTCGCTAACATGGTGACCTATTGCTACAGGACAGAGATCAGCTACTCTTTGCTCTGGGAAACCCGCCTGCTGCCTCTGGAAAACCTGCCCCACCTGAAAAGAATGACACAAAATATAAACAACGACACAATAGTTTTTGTCACCTTAAAACAGGTAAGAGGGACGGCGTGGCTATTAATGCATGGCAGCATTTTAGTACAAACCTTGGAAAGAGTAAGATAGTGAGTATATGTGCCCATGGCAGACATCACTAATCAATCCCATACTCTCCTCTCTAAGCTTGGATCAGTCTTCATACTCTTTAATTTTGTGCTCTCAACTGCCACCATCCAATGACCAGAGTTGACATATATGTTAAAACTCACTCACCATTCTTGCCTAAGAGGATGTATTTTATCATGGACCATATTGGCTTCTAATTAAATTGTAAATAATGGCACAAAGGAAGCCCTTCACAGGTAGTTTGGTTTAGGAGCATGACAAGAAACACGCCACATTCTTTCTTCTAAAGGCCGAGTTAGCAGAACATCTATCTCCAGGGACAGCAGTTTTGTGAGAACTGAATCCAGATGTGTAATCCCCGCCCCAAACCAGGGGAGGGTCTCTGGGAAAGCAGGGGAAGTCACTTCCTCTGAGGCAAGGAGCAGTCTGCTTCAGAAGGTCCTTTTAACAAACGAGAACCAACAGCAACATTCTTCATTAGCCTGTCCTTGTAGAATTTAAAGAAAGTTGTAAGCATGGTTGAAGAGGTACATGGAGAGAGAAGAGACAGGAATGTTGGACCATGGAGAAACTGAATAACTTGGTGGAAAACTGGAGGTTTCACTGGGACTGGCCTTTATTTCACATGTAGGGAGCAGAGGCCAGGGACTCCCAGGGGCTATGCGCACAGCACTTTGCCATCAAACTGATCAGAGCCTCCCGTCACTGGTTATGATTAAAGTGATTTGGCTACAATCACTATCCTACAGCCTAGTAACTTCCATGTTGAGGGATTTGTGATGGGGCAGATCTGGAGTGGACTGAAATATGGCCATATGAAGAATGAACCTGCCTGCCCCATTAGGGGATGGGCTGTTTTGCTTCATCAGTGAAAAGATGCTACATAATTTGATTAACAGAGAATCAGAATGCAGTAAAATTCACTTATCATGGGCGAGACCCTCACTGTCCTGTGATTTCTCATTGATAATTCAGGATCTTTGTGCCACAGGTTGTAACTGGGGGCAGGGAAGGTGCTATGGTTCTGAGGCCATGGCAGCAACGATAGGATGGCATCCAGTTGGTCAGCAGACCTAGGTGCTAGTTCCCAGTGCACCCGTGACCTTGGTCACATCCAAGCGGAGTCATAGGTCATGGGACGAGATGCTGGGTGACTATTTTGACTGGATCTTTGCCTCATGGGAGCCAGGGATTATAACCTTCATCTTCGGGACAATCAGTAGATGAAGTGAGCAGCATGGGGAGGCATAGATGAACGAAGAGAAGAGACTTCAGGCCCAGAAAGCAGGCCTTCTCACTTCACCACTTTGCTCCCGAGTCTCCGTTTCCTGTCTTTAAGGGGTGCTGTGAAGTGAGCTCGGGTTTAGCGTGATGTTTACAGCCCCGGGAGAGCTCTCTGTGGGTAGATGATTAAATGTAGTGCTGATAACGTACATTTCTAAGGCACTCACAGTTTTCCAAGTGCTTTCATCTCCATAATTTCACCCCGCTGAAGACTCACTGAGTTGGGTAAGCAGTTGGATTCCTTAACTGCTTTCCACAGATGTGTCAACTGGGACTCAGCTGGATGAAAAGGCTTCCTCAAGGTCAGCACCAAGGCTCAAACTCCTCCTACCTTGTGATTCTGAATCCAGGGTTCCTTTCCCCATAGAATGATAGAGAATGGAGAGTTTACTCTAATTATTTTGACAGTACAGTCTTCAGCGTCACAGTGTGGTAAAAATAGACTGTGAGGACAGGGGGAGGATCTTGGGAGCAAACAAACTGAGCTCACCAAGGTGTTCTCTCCAGCAGCTCGGTGGCCATGGCCTTTAGGAAAGTCTTGGCAGTCTTGCTGCGGGCATTGGGTAGCAGGCAGGGGCAGCGTCACCTTCTCACTGTACCCAGCTTTCCCTGGGGAGCTGTCCTGGAGGCCCTGGGGCAGGGGTGGGGAGAGGAGGACTTTTTTTGAGGTGTGGGGACCAGGGACGAGACTACATCCCAGGTGAAGGGCCTGAATTGTATGTCCCCCAATAGCCAACAGGCCGTGGCTGTGGCACACGTGGGGAGAAACAGCCTGGGAGCCCCGGTTCTTGTGCCACAGAAGTTTTTCTGAGAGGCAGGGGGATGGAGGAGGAGAGTCTGGAAGAGTTTATTTAATGCAGTCTCATTTTCATTCACATAAAGATAACCTCTATTAATTATTATATATTAATAATTAATAGCCATTATTATTATTAATTCCCTACTTCCCAAAATGATATGGCGTATAGTAAGAAACAAACCCATCTATACATACATATATATGTGGTTAAAATAAAGGTAAAAAGGGACTTGGAAGCACACAGAGGAAGTTGGGGCAGTCCCACAGGGCCATTTCACACTCATAGAGAAACACAACCACTCTGTCTCCGTAAAAGAGACAAAGGATAGATTTTTATTAAGCTGCAACTCTATATTCTGTCGTATTCTTTGGGATCTCTCTCTCATTGGAAATATCTGGCTGAGGGGAAAGACTTTATATGACAGAAGAGAGCTTGGCGAGTAGACGTTTGTGCCACGTGAGGAAAACCTAGGCTGCCAGCAGTCATCTTTTTCAGGTCTTAGATTCCTTTGTGAATCCCATAAATACCCTCCTCTTCCCAGAAAAATGCAAGCTCTTACAAACGTGATTTAAGATATTAGGTCAGTTACAAACTCCCAAAGCCCATCCATTGACTTTAGATGCATAAACTCTTCATTTAAAAAATGGGAAATGAAAATTTTATGGAATAACTTTTTTCTTTACAAAAAGGTTCATTGCATGCAGGTGAGATGACTGCAATGGAAAATGTTCTATTACAAAATATTCTGAGGTCTATGAAAGTCCCTAGCCTATAACATTTACATTTACATATGTAGTCATCGTGCATTCACTTATAATTTTTCTTAGTCTTTTACTGGTTCTTTTAAAGATGCTATATAATGTGTACTCCACTGTATTTGTATCTGATAACATGAGCAATATTTGGTATAATAAGGAAAATCTGCCTTTATTGTTAAGTCCATTTTGATTACATGTAGAGTATGGCATATAAAGTAATACTTTAATATATACAACAGCCCACACGCCATCAATAAGATTTCATCCTCCAGACTTGTGAATTTTTGGAAAAAATTACTTCCACATGTTCTTAAAACTACTTAAGATTTTTGACTGGTTGGTGGTCTATTGATTCTAAATATCTGACCTGTCAAAACGCCATCTTTAAACTTCAGTGATGCATAGAGGTTTGGAATTAGTGGGGCTGAATTTATTACAGAACAAAGGGAGGCGATGATTAACACACCCATCTGAGCAGTAGGGGAGAAAATAATCCTTGAATGGATTAGATGCCATGATCCTAAAACCACATTCTCTGAATGTTGGGTCCTTGCCCAGAAACGGGGAGAAGCCAAACACTGATGTCTTTTATATGACGGGGTAAATCCATGGAACTCTGATCAGGAACACTGGGGCTGAGAGTGGGGGATCTAGACCACTGTGTGTGCAGTGACCCTCAAAACTGGGAGCCCACTCATTGAGTGTCGTGCAGTTATCAGTCTGCCTGCCAGGTGGAGGTTACATGAAAATGTAAATGAGTGAGATTTTTATTTTTTTATTTTTATCACTAACCAGGAATTAGGCTTTTTTTTGGATTCCAGTAGGCTATTTTCAAGGCTGGCACAGGGGCTGCCAAGATGAAGCCAATTATTTTTCACTGTCCCACTAGAAGCCAAGAGTCACAGGCAGGCTCTCTCTGTTTACTGGCAAATTCTGGTAGATTCTGAACTCCCAGGATATAATTCCAGGGAAACTGATCTTTGTAAGAATAGTCCATGAACAGAGAACACTAAACCCACTTTCTGGTGGACTTTCCCCGTTATTTTCTACTGATTTCACCATGTCTTGCAAGCTTTACAGAAAGCATGGCTTTTTCAAATATCATAGAATGGCATTGATGGAGACTGACTCTCTGAGAGAGGTCTACGACAGATAAGTACCTTCCCGAGAAGAAAACAGACCATTAGGAAAGTCATTGTGACCCCCATTCCCTGGGGGGGAGGAGGAGCATTTGAATCACAAGCCCAGGTGCTCAGGAAATCTCCTGTCACTCTGAGATGGGCTGGGACATGGTGCCATGTCCGAAGTTTCTAAATACAGTTCAGGCTGGGTCATCATGACAGATGCTGAACTGGCACCACTACAGGGACCAGAGTGGGAACTCTGACAGCACTTAAATGCCACAGCCCCTGGGCTTGAAGTCTTCCTGGGCTGGGACAGGGACAGGGACAGGCAGTGCAGAGGCTTATGGGGAGGCAGGCAGGAGCCGCTTTGGCAAGGAGATCCTGCTGCTTCGGCAACACCACTGCTCCTTCAGAAGGCAATGGACACCCAGCCACACTTCAGCTATTTTAGAAGTGGTCAGTTTCTGAATTGCTGGCACACTTGGAGGACACTGTCTCTTCAATGGTCATTCTGACCCTTCAAGGTAGGTAGGCCTGGGAAAAAAGAGAGGCGTGCTTTGTATGGCCAAGGCGGTGGATGAGGAATGAGTGGAATGAAGTGAGCTGATCAAGATGACTCAAGGAGTCAGGAATGGAGGTAGGAATAGTATGTTGACTTTGGGATTCCCAAATCAGTCTTTAGTACACAGAAGACAGGGTTAGGCACTTCCTTACCTCACTCCACCCTCCTCTTTTTGGCCATCACCAAAAATCTACCCTGGGGTTAGCTTCCTTTAACAACTCATTCTCTCCTGGGAAGGGCTTTAGAGGAAAAAAGGAGACAGGAGAGACTCGAAAGATAGGCTTTTGCTGGGGGGGGGGGTCGGGGGGGGGGCTATGACATGGGATGTGAGGGTGGGATTCTAAGTTTTGTAGGCGTCCCAAACTGGGGTTGGTGAGATGTAAATATAAAGACACTGCTACGAATACAATCAATCCAGGGTATTTGTTTTATTCTCAATGCTCGCCCCGTGCCCCCAAAGTGGATCCCTTTCTGTTGTCAAAGCATTTGATTTTAGAATTTCTGAAGGTAGTGTGGGGTGGTGAGTTCAAGCCTTGGAATAAGACCATGGTTCTTTTCTTCTCTCTGATGCTTCTGGGTGGGTGTTGCTGGGCACGCTTGTTACCTTGGCTAAGTCTCAATGATCTCAGTTGTCAAATAGGGTTATAATGCCCAGGTCTCGGTCAGCCTCACCCTCATTACTTTGGAGACCCCCTTAGGCACTAGGCCTTTTCTGCCTCCTCACTGTACTTTTCTCATCCCAAGCCACAGGGTGAATGCTCTTGACAAGGTTGCCAATTTGGAGTCAGGGGACCCTGTGGTCTCCCAGCTGTCTTTCTGTATTCCCACCTCTCATGGAGTCTAGGGCTGCTGCTTCTGCTAAGGTTGATCTCTCCGCTTCTCTGTTCAAGGCCCCATTTCCTTACTGAAGATGCAACATATATAACTTTTCAACGGACCACCCTGTTCTCGCTTCTTTCAGATTCTAGTCACTTTCCTTCTCAAATAGTGTGGCTGTCAACTTGGGCCAGGAGAAGTAGACCCACTGAAGTAGACCCACACAGAAACAGGCTCTCTCAGCTGCATGTTTGCTGTTTCTTTGCTTTACCTCCTGCCTTTCTGAAATTTCTCTTTCTAGCACCATTTAATTTTGATAGATTTTGCTTAGGGCCCTGGAATCTTTCCTTCACCAAGCGATTGATCGCTTCCTGTTCTAACATTAAAATTTTTCTTTATTAGGATTTGCTTTTCTCTGCTTGAAAGAACACAAACCTTCTTTTTCCCTCTCAGATATGGTCAGAGAAATGACCAGGAAAGATCTAACCCTTGTGGTCACCTCCTTTGCCAAATGATGGAAGGAACTAACATTTAAAATACTTCTATGTGTGAGCCATCAGCATTTCTACTGTTTTGATGAGGAGATTGGCTCAGATAGGTTAAATTGCTTGCCCAAGGTCATGGCTGGGTGTGTGTGATTCTAGAGGACTGTGCTCTTTCCCCTTCCTGGTGGCTTCTCTGGAAATCCCACTTCACTGCAGGGAGTAGGAACACCAAGGGTATAGAGGGTGCAGCAGTTGTCTGTGCAAGAGTCATTCTGTTCTCAGAGGGGAGGACATCTCCGCTGCCCTTCCTGCCACGCCCAACAGCTTCTCTAGCTCCAGCACTTGGGGAAAGAGCTTGTTCCTTCCCCTATTTTATCCTCAGGACCACAGGCACCTATCTGAGTTACTATCTGAGAATTTTCTAGATGACTGACCTTGACTCCTACTCATAAAAGTGACTGAATTCACTGAACTCATTTGATGCCCCTGAAAGATTTGATGCCACTGAACTCATTTGATGCCCCTGAAAGTTTTAACACAACTCATAGTTGTGGAAGGAAAACCTAGTTTCCAATAGTTCAGATTGTGTGTGGAGATGACATTTCTGAGATTTCACTGGGAACATGGCATTCAATGAAGACACCTTGTTTTTCGGGATATACTGGTCTCCTAAAGAATCAGAAGACTAGCATTCCAGGTTCTACGTCTGGCTCAGCTTACCCTTCCTCCCAGCCCTTCTCTGGACACACCTCTTCTCTTACTTGGTTACATATACAGCAATTCATTCATTCATTCATTCATTCATTCATTTATTTCTGGTCAAGCATCCAACTAAAACAACATTTTATTGAGTGCATAATAGGTAACAGACCTTGTCACAGGTGCTGAGGATACAAGAGGAATAACACAGGTGTGTCTGAATTACTTGCTGTTCTCTAATCTGCTAGACTTTACTGCCATGCCTTTGCCATAAATTTCCCTTTTCCTGGAAGATCCTTCTCCTTTCGCCAGCTCTGCCTTTTCATCTTGCAGACATCTCTTCATTAGGCCCAGAAAAGACCTCTGGACTCAAAGAGGTGCTTTTCCCATAGCATTTGATTGATACTGCTCTTAGGTAATAATATATGGAAATTAGCATTTATATATTCCTTTTACTATTGATAAATATTTACATGGACACACTTTGTTAGCGATTCATAAAAATTTCACAAAGTGTAAAAAATATTTTACAAATGATAAAACTAAGGCTTAAAAAGGTTAGGTGACTTGTTCAAGATTAGACAGTTGAAAAAAGAGGAGGTGAGCTTTAGAACTCGGTTCTCAACATGCTATGTGCCAGGCTGGATTTGGACTATTTTAACTTTATTAGCTTATTTATTGACCTGTCCTGTCTCCTGAGTGATTTCTCTAGGTTTGGCTTGATAGGTTGGGTGGATTTAATTTTTTTATTATTATTACTCTCCCCTCACCGTCTATCCTCCATCTATCCTCTTCCATCTCTCACTTTCCCCTCTGCACTCACCACACTGTTTTCCGTGTCCATGAGTTCTTTCTCTCTTTTTTGTTCAGTCAGGTTGGGTGGATTTTAAACCTTGAGTAGCTGGTGGTCTCCCAAGCATAATTTGAAAGGCATTGCATATTCCTGGCTGTACTCAAATGTCCTACTTACATGTTTGTAATTGCCACCTCCAAAGGGGATTGTCTCCAGAAGTCATCGTTAAATTACACTTGTTGCTTAGAAGTTGGCGGCTTAGTTCTTCACTTTTAGATTATTAGCATGAACTTGTTTATTTATCGGTGCATAGTGAGAATATCCTAACAAGGTATAAGGCAAGTTCTTCTAGGGCTTTTGGGGGAAGGCTTCCTTTCACTTCATGGACATTTAAAAACCAACCAATGTGGCACACGTCTGTCAGTGGCGGTGTTGGGAGGTTGCAAGTAGTTGTGGTTGCAAAGAGCAAACAAGCGCTGGCTTGGGGATGAGTGAATGTGTCACTTATCCAAGAAAAAAAAAAAATGCCAAGAGCCTCAGGAGGGGCCTATGTTGACAGCTGCTGGCCTAACATTGACTGGTAAATCTTGAAGACCACCTAATCAGGATCAACTTTTGGAGGACCTCTGATGCAAGAGGTATTTAGATTGAATATTGCCATATGGCTTGAGACCAATTGTTGATTATTCCATTTATGCATTGTCTGTGCTTTCACCAGGGATATTTTCTGAACCAAAAGTTGGTCTCAAGAATTTTAGCTCTAGCTGATTTGGCTCAGTGGTAGAGCATTGGCCTGTGGAACAAAGGGTCCTGGGTTCAATTCTGGTCAAGGGCATGTACCATGGATGCAGGCTCCTCCCCGACCCGGGCCCTGGTCAGGACTCGTGCAGGAGGCAACCAATCGATGTGTTTCTCTCACACTGATGTTTCTGTCTGTCTTTCCCTATCACTTCCACTCTCCCTAAAAATCAATGGAAAAATATCCTCGGGTGAGGATTAACAACAACAACAACAAAAAGTTTTAATTTTATGGAGAGAATGACATAAAATATTTGAAATTAGGACCATTCTAGAAAATCCAGTACATGTAGGTGTCCTTATTTTTTCTTGGTCTTCCTGATTAACTTGGTTATTGGCATATAACCTTATATGTTAATTTGATATATTGCTATTTATAAAGTGCTTTCAGATACATTATTATCAGATGAATTCTCTTCAAGAATACATATCCATTTAAAATCAACAACTTTGGGTCCTGAACTCTGACCCGAGTTAAGCCTTAATAAGCCAAATTTTGCACAAGAACTATTTCAGCTGCCTTTTATGTCTTTCAATGCTGTCATTACACATTTCTTCCAAGTCCAGACATCTTCCAATGTTATTTTGTACCTTCTAATGTTATGTTGCTATGGTCTAGGACCGTGGTCGGCAAACTGCGGCTCGCGAGCCACATGCAGCTCTTTGGCCCCTTGAGTGTGGCTCTTCCTAAGCCTTAGAAGTACCCTAATTAAGTTAATAACAATGTACCTACCTATATAGTTTAAGTTTAAAAAATTTGGCTCTCAAAAGAAATTTCAATCGTTGTACTGTTGATATTTGGCTCTGTTGACTAATGAGTTTGCCGACCACTGGTCTAGGATAAAGCAAAAGAGTACTTGACGTTGACTGTGATCTTCAGTGGTCTATCACATTTGGATGTTTTACCCAGAGGGTACTGGGGACAGGAAATAAAATACAACAAAGAGGGCCTTTACCAATCTACTTACTTATTAAATAATGTTAAGTTTGAGACCTAAAAGATTCATGAATGTAACTACCATGCTAGTACTTACTTATTAAATAATGTTAAGTTTGAGATGAGACCTAAAAGATTCATGAATGTAACTACCATGCTACTGAGAAAGACAAAGTCCCATATGACCTTGGTTTGAATATTCTCCTCTCCCAAAAGAACTGACAATGTTTTAGTTTCCATAGAGCTATCTTCTGACTGAGCCTGAACATGAGTTCTGCATTGCCATGTTCAGAGTGGGAAGCACACAGCTTTTCAGGCCTGGTTCTGAAAATGGGCAACAGTGTCTGGTGGCCAGAGCATCACCTCTAATACCAGATTAACTTAGGTCCCACTCTGACTCCCCCCAGTTATGTAATGTGAGAAAAGCCCCTTCA